TCTCCCTCCTTGGCATGACTCCCCCTCACTGCCCTGGGGCAGGAGTCTACTGCAAGACTGTGCCCTCAGGCCCTGAGTCCTGGGTGTCCTGGCATGGGGCTGAGGTCAGGCTTCTCTTAAGCTTCTTTATGATCTCCCCCACAGATGCGTGAGCGGGAAGTGAAGTTCTGGGACACCCGGGTCTTCTCCAGTGCCCTGTCTTCCCTCACCCTGGACACTTCACCCAGGTAAGAACTGTGGCATGGTGGGAGACTGGGGGCTACTGGCCCAGATGATGCTCTGAGTCCAGGCCTAGTGTACAAGTGCCTCTGGTGAGGACCCCAATCTAGCCTGTCTGTGAAGCGGGGCCTCGCTGCAATGTGTAGCAGGTGCCCGAGCTGGGCTTTGACGTCTTCAACAAAGAACCCTGGCCTTGCCTTCCAGGAGCCCTAACCTCACCAGCAGTGGGCATGGGGCAGCCCCAGGCAGACAGACTAGCTAGATTCCTTGTTTCCACCTCCTCTCCCCGCTACCCCAGTAGAGTGGCCCTCTGTCACTGGGCAGCTTCATGGGATGGAACTGACAGTAGTGTGCTCTGGGGAAGGGGCTGAGGCTGCAATGTGTGCAGAGATGTGCCTGATGTTGCTGTGGATGTATCTGTGAGGCCGAGGGCCCCAGAATATCTAAGAAAGAGGGCATGGGGCGGTATGAGGACAGACGAACAGGTTTAGAAGTGCTTGTGGCACTTGTGGGTGAGCTTGGACTCTTGTGGTCTGTATAAAGGGCTCACCCAGCTCCTGACATCTGGTGGTCTCCATGTGTCTAGTCTGACTACAAATGAGACTGGTGCCCAGGCAGCATAGGAGGTCCAAGGCACCTTGTCCTTCTACCCTCCCCCCCCCCATTCCCTGGAAGCATATGGAGGAGAGTTTGTAGCAGGGTTCAGCCTACCCCATCAGCTTTGTGCAGAGATGGTCTTGATTCACAGTGGCTCGGAAGCCAGCTACCAGGAGGCCCACAGTGCATTCTGCATTACCATCTGCTTTACAGCCGAGGAAACAGGTTCCAGGAGGCTTAGAGACTTAGTCAGGCGAGGCTGTGGGGTGGAGGCAGGAGCATATGCAACCCCCTGTGCTGAAACCTCTGCCTGTCTCAGCTGTAACTCACGAGGTCCCTCTGCCGCAAGGAGATTGGGAAGTACTGCAGCCAAGAAAAGGACCTTGTTTGGCTGGCTTGTCCATCCTTTTCCTGCTTGGATTTCACAACTGAGGAAACTGAGTCACAGAAGGCCCAGTGGCCTGTCCAATTTTAGAAGCAGCTGGATGGTGTGAGGTGAGAAAGACTGAAGGATCTTCCTTGGATCCTCCAAAACAGCCCTGCACTGGGTCCCTGGCTGAGAGGAGGGGAGTGGACAGGAAGACAGAGATTCTTTGTCCTGTCCTCTAAATCAGGAATAAGACACTGGGGTGCTGGCAAGGCCCCTTGTACAGATGAGTAAGGCAAAGCTGGCTGAGATTTAGGTCTTCCTTGAAACCACATGGCAGGTACGAGGCTAAGGCAGGTTGTCACCACCCTTCTTCCTCTGCTGGCATGGGGCTCAGGACTGGGTTCAGCTGGGCTCCCCTGTCCTGGAGTGGCAGACCTTTCTGGGCCAGATGGCCCCTTCCCTACAAGCCATCAGCAGAGGCCTATGGGATAGTGTAGGCGTGAAGGGCCTGGGCATCAGCAATCCAGTGTGCTTCTGCCTACCACTTCCTGTGTTTCAGGCTCCACCCTTGCTAATGGTGGTGACTGTCTCCCCTCCCCTGCAAGGCAACCCCTGCCAGGCCCTAGTGTGGCCCCTGGAAGAGTTAACGATGCCCAGACCCTACGGTGCCACCAGCCAAGGCTGACCCTGTAATTATAGCAGTTAAGAATAGCCTGGAAGGACCAGTGAGGGCTGGAATTTGTCAAATCACTCCCAGATGGGCAGCTAGGCCAGTGGTCCACCCCTGTCCCCCAGCCCTGACCTTTGCCTCGGTGGCCCAGCATCCTCAGCCAATAAGCTAGGACTCTCCGGCCTCTGTGAAGCCAGCAGATGCCAAGGATGCATGCTAGCCTCCCAGCTGTTCTGAGAGATGGTGGGTTCTCTGGAAGCAAGAGCCCCTGTGAGTGGAGATGGAACGTGCTCAGGGCGTCGGCTGTGGGCACAGCCATGGGGGAAGGTTGGCAGCCGTGTCCACCCAGTCGCCGCTGCTCTCTTCGGTTTTACAGATTTTCCATCTTGGTTTGAGCAGAACAGCATGTGCTTTTAAGAGCTGCAGGGGCCACAGGTCAAGCTCAAACTCCTCCCCCATCCTCTCCCAGGGCCTCAGTCATGTTCCCATCTCTGTCCTCTTGTCATTCGTGCCTACAGAGGAGCACATCTCGTTGGGGAGAAGGGGTGACTGGAAGCCAGGCCAGCCTCAGGCCATGTGGAAGGGTCAGGCTGCCGTCCTAAGAGGGTTGTCCAGAACTTTACGTGCCAGGCCCTGTAATGTGGGAGGAGAATGAGAGGGACTGGCAGAGCCAGAGCAGCTCATGCTCTGCCATGTCATGCAGGCACACCTGTCTCAGATGCTCTCCTCCTGGGTGACGGGCCCGAGAGAGTGCAGCCATGACAGTGCCCCATCCCCTGTACCGGCAGGGGTGAGCAGGGTACCCCCACTGTAGTCCGGGGAGCACATGTTAGGGTTCTGTCCCTCTTGTTCAGAGCAGGCTGTTTCAGCTCTGTTTTTCTGTAAAGTGAGCTGTTAGTCATGGAACAAGTAAAGCCCTCACAACACGGTGTGGGACAGGAAGGACCTGGTGATTGTGGGTTACTGCCTCCTCCCGTCTGCCCTGATCCCTGGCCTGAAGTTGGCGCCATTGCCCTGGGTAGGGGCTGCATCTTGGCTTCATCCTCTCAGGATGGGGGCGCTCTGAGTACCTTTCTCTGGATCCTGCCACCCCACCCCCCTGCTATTCCTTTAGGCCAGGTTTGCTTTTGCAGTGAAAACATTTACTCAGCAGCCACTGTCTCCGGCAACAGCCCACAGGCCCACAAAGGGCCCTTTGACAGGACTGCGGGGAGGGGGGAGGACATGGACGCTGCCCTAATAGGACCCAGGCTTACAGGAAATCCACCTGGGCTGCTGCCGCCACTGCTGCCGCCGCCACCACCTCCGCCTCAGGAGGAAGGGGCCCATTGCCACCACCCACTACCCTCGTGACCCGCCGCCACCTCCCTCTTCAAGCCAGAACCCTCAGCAGCCGCTAATTGAATCCAGAGCCTCGCGTGGCCAAGCCTGACTCGGTGCTGACATCAACACCCCAAGCCACAGGGTCTGGTCTCCAGGCCTGGCTGGGCCCCCTCCTTCCCACTGGGAGGTGAGGCTCAGAGCCAGGGCCATGACCTAAGGAGGACATCGGTGTGGGGCCTCCAGTTCACTTTAGGTTTTGCTGAACCTCTCCTTTACCCCTCTTCTACCTTCCCCCAAGAACAAGAGGAAGAGCTGTGTATCCATCAGTCTAAGCTCCCCATCCCCAGACAGGCCATAGCTGTCTTCCACATCTGTGGCCCTGTCCTCTCTTCTCCAGCCTGCAGTCTTTCTGGAAAACACCCCTAAACTCCTAGGAGTCCCAGAACAGTTGAGCACTTCCCTCGTACAGGGGCTCTATGGAGCCATTGAGACTAGCCCTATCTGCAGTGCAGACGGAGCCCCTGGCCCTTTCCTGTATCAGCTGCAGATCTGGCTCGGCCCCTCCCTTTTGCCCATCAGGGTCTTTGGCTTGTCGATCTGTGCTTCCCCACTCCAAAGCCCTTCTGTACAGCTGGGGTAGACACAGCAGGATTTTTCTGCTGAGCCTATACCAAGGGTAGAGGAGCAGCAGAGGGAATTGGAGCCACGTTCCTACCTGGCCAGCCTAGGACTCTTCAGAAGGTTCTGGAGGCTCCCTGAGCCCAGGACCAGCCATAAAGTCCTGGAATGAGAAAGTGTAAGGTACCCATTCTCTAGGGAAGTTAATGAATTTCCCATTGAATCCACTGAGGAGGGGATGGCTTCCCTTGGGGGTACTCTATATGCTGCATCTGCTATGAGCCATTCCCATCCTTACCACAGACGCTGGTGTGGATGAGGCTGTCCTAACTAGACCCCTTTCCTGAGACTGAGGCAGCCCATCGCACCCAGGCCTCAGCCTCATGTCGGGCCAAGACCCTGAGAGAGAGGGTCACCCTTCTGGGGAGGTCCATGACAGTTTGCCAAACCCAGGCCTGGAGCTTGCTAGGGAGAATGGATCTGGAGCTTGCTGGGGAGAGTGGATCTGGAGCTTGCTGGGGAGAGTGGATCTGGAGCTTGCTGGGGAGAGTGGATCTGGAGCTTGCTGGGGAGAATGGATCTGGATCTTGCTGGGGAGAGTGGATCTGCTGGGGGGTTTTGTGTTTTTGTGGGGCTTTCTTTGTTGTTGTTTTTTTGTTTTGTTTTGGTCAATCATGGCGCGTGAACTCTGTGCTCTGTCCCTCAGCTCTTCAGCTCAAGGCCAGAGCTCTACCACTTGAGCCACAGCGCCACTTCTGGTTTTCTGATGGTTTATTAGAGATAAAGAGTTTCTTGGACTTTCCTGCCCAAGCTGGCTCTGAACAGTGATCCTCAGATCTCAGCCTCCTGAGTAGCTAGGATTACAGGCCTGAGCCACTGGCACCTGGTGAGTTTTTTTTTTCTGTTGGTTGTGGGGCTTAAACTCAGAGCCTGGGTACTTACCGTCCCTGAGCCTCATTGTGCTCAAGACTAGCACTCTACCACTTGAGCCACAGCGCCACTTCCAGTTTTTGAGCGGTTAATTGGAGATAAAGAGTCTCACAGGGACTTTTCTGCCCAGGCCAGCTGCGATCCTCAGATCTCAGCCTCCTGAGTAGCTAGGATTACAGGCGTGAGCCACTAGTGCCCGGTGGGCTCTGGTTCTTTACGCGCTCCATACACCCAACCCATGTATGCACCCCTGCTTGAGTCCAAGACATTCACTCCATTTTATCCTTTATTTTCTTACAAAAGGCCTTCATGTCATCGTTTGTCTTACAAAAACCAAAGTCTTTGTCACTGAGTTTGAAAAACATTTTCCCAACATAAATGGGAAAGGATCTTTTATAAATATATTCTAAAAAAATGGAACTGAAGCAAATCCACACGTGCCCAGAGCACCTTCCCTTCCAGTTTCCTGTACTTCTAGGGCCAAGGCCAGGGCCAAAGGGCCCGCTCCACGACTCCTTTCTGGGGGCTTCCTTCACTGGCCCCCAGTCTCCATGGTCAGCTGCGGGGAGCCTGGAAAGGCCCGGGCCGCGTTACCAGCACACGGCAGGACCCACATGCCCTGGCATTGCACTATGCAGAAGACAGCAGTCGCCGTCCTGTACACACTTGGGCTGGGGCTACCAGAATTCATTGCCTGGGCTGCAGCAGCTCACAAATGAGTACACTTAGCCCAGAGAGGGACAGAGGCTAACCGTGGTCACACAGCCCCATCCCACATATGTCCCGGTGATACATGCTAAGAACTCACTATGGCAACAAGAGGGTGCTGGCTGCTCCATCTGGCTTAGATGTAGCACTTAGCAGGGACAGCCCCTTGGAGGCTGGGCCCCGAATAGCCCATGAGTGGGAATTCACACTCAGGTCCACCTGGCAGGGCATCCCCACTGTCCTCAGTAGCCTTGGGGCCTGGCTCCAAGGGGGCTTTCACCCCCTCCAGCTCCAGGGGCCCAGCCCCTGGTCCCACCTGCCCTTTGCCCTGAGCTGCAGCTGCTACGGCCCGTCCCCGCCGCACACAGTAAGCTGCCCCTGCGGCAGCCAGCGCAGCCAGGAGCACAGCGGCCAGGGCGGGTGCAATGAGGAGGGGCAGGTTGCCCTCACGGGCCTGGGTGACAGGGGCGTGGTTCGACCGGACCGCTGGGGGTGTGCGGGCCTCTCCGCAGGCCTCCTCGCCTCCTGGCAGCCGTCCGAGCCCTAGGGGTGTGACGCAGATGGAGTAGGTGGCATTGGGCTGCAGCTGAGTGACGGTGTATTCTGCCAGCGAGGCAGGCAGCCGCAGGGTCACCAGTCGCTTGTCAGGGCCCGACAGGTTGCGGTAGGTGAGGCGGAGGCTCCTGAGCTGCACGGTGCTGCCCTGCAGGTAGCGCTGCAGCCCCACGCGCAGGGAGGTGGGGCTCACTGGTTCAACACCAAGGGGCAGGGGCCGTGGGGGCCCTGGTGTGGCCTGTGGAGTGGGGCTGGGCTGCACCGCCTGCCCTACTCGGCTCTCGCAGTACAGGCCTGTGACACCCTCGGGGCACAGGCATTCCAGGTGGTGCGCTGCCCCGAGGCGGCAGGTGCCTCCATTGAGGCAGGTGGACACAGGGCAGTCCCGGGGCCGGGGAATAGGCTCCATCGTCGTCGGCAGGGCAGTGGGCGGCAGGCTGGGGGCTTCCGTGACTGGCGCGGCGGGGCTGAGCCAGGTCGGGACTGGGCTAGAAGGCAAGGGTGTGGGCTCCCCTGCCTCAGTCCTTGTGGTGGGCACCGTGGCTGTAGTGGTGGTGGCGGGGCAGCCGAAGTCCGCATAGTCCAGCTCTAGCAGCAGCCGGCCAGCATTCTTTGGTGGAAAGTGACAGCGAGTCTCCTCAGGGCTGGTCAGCGTGATGTGGTTCTCTCGCACCCAGGGCCCAAACCAGCTCAAGGAGCATACACAGTTGAAGGGGTTCCGGGCTGCTGCCAGGAGGCGCAGTCGGGGGAAAAGGTGGGAGAGGTCACTGGGCAGGGCCTGCAGGCTCAGGTTGCTCAGGTCCAGCTCCTGTAGGGCAGCCAGACCCGCCAGGTCCTCGGGCCGCAGCTGAGCGATGCGAGTGTTGCCAGCGAGCCGCAGGCGTGTCAGGCCCCGCAAGCCTCGGATCACAGACGGCAGGCGCTCCAGCTGGTTGTCAGACACATCCAGGTCGTGGAGGTTGCGCAGGCGGCCAAAGAGCCCCTCGTCCAGCTGCTGCAGCCCCAGACCGGCCAGCCGCAGCGCCTCCACATTGGCGGTGTCCAGGACACCAGGCTCCAGGGCCAAGAAGCTGTTGTGGCTGAGGTCAAGCAGCAGCAGGCGGGGCAGTCGAAGCGGGGGTAGTGTCCGAAGCTCGTTGTCCTGCAGCTTGAGCTCCAAGAGGTGGTCAAGAGCATCAAAGGCGCCTGGCTGGATGTGGCGGATGCGGTTCTTGCCCAGGTATAGGCGTTCGAGTCGCCGCAGGCCGCGGAAGGTCTCGTTGGTAATCTCGCGCAGTTTGTTGGCAGTCAGGTCCAGGTTGCTGAGGTTGACGAGCGGCTGGAAGATGCTGCCGGGTAAGCTGGCGATCTGGTTCTGTGACAGGTCTAGGAGCTGTAGATCTGGCAGGCTGGCAAAGCTGCCCGGGTCGAGCGTGGTGATGCCGTTCTCGAAGATGTACAGGCCTACTGTGTCAGGCGGCACGTCTCTGGGCACCGTGCTCCCCTGGCGGGCAGTGCAGAAGACAGTCTGTGGCTGGTTGCACTGGCAGCCAGATGGGCAGCCCTGCACCTTGGGCTCCAGGGCCAGCAGTAGGAAGAGCAGCAGGGGCGGCGGAAGGCGGCTCCTGGAGCGCATCTTCTGTCCCTGTGTGCAGAGTGGTCGTGAGTCAGGGCCTCGAGGGCAGCTACGCCAAGAGGGCCAGAAGGGGATTTACCACTCCCTGCCCCCAAATGCAAGAGCCAGCACTATGAGTCAGGTCCCCAGTGCCCCCTGGCCAGTTCCTGGCCCATCCCCATTACTCCCTCATCATGTGATTTTTATCCTTATGGTGTCAGCTATCAGGAGCAGGCAGTGGGCTGAACAAGACCAGCAGCGACTAGCACATGGATGGACTGATAGCTTCTGGGTACTCAGTGACCACACACCATTTCCCCGGGCTGAGCTCAGGCGCTCCTGCTGACGGCGGTGGACAGGGAAGGGGGCAAACCAGGGAAGAAGAGGAGTCATGTGTCCTGGAGCAGCAACCCCTCCTTACAGCAAGCGTCTGGAGAGACGGGGCGGGCAGGCGGCCCAGGCGCGTAAGCAGAGAAGCTGGCTGCCCTGGGCCGCTGGCCCCTGCGCCACGCTCTGTGTCCCTCCCTCCTCAGAGTGGGGAGAGACCGCAGCAGGAAGACTTCACATGGAAACTATGGGATCGGTGTTTTTCCACTTGTGCAGTCAGACCTGCCCAGGACGGGGGCTGCGAGCCACCAGGATGTGGCCAGTGGCAAGGCTCCTGAAGGCGGGGCGGAGGGTGACTGCAGTCTTTGGCAGGTGCCCCTCTCCTGAGAAGGGCGGAAGGAGGGAGGAAGGTTTCCTCTTCATACTCCCCCACCTCCAGGTCATGATGATACAGTCCTCATGACCTCAGGCCTGGCTCTTGCTAGGCAGGCTCTCATAGCATGATGATAGAAACTGGAAGGCTCAGGCAGGGGACGCTGGTGTGGGGTGGTGGCTAGAGGCAGTGCCAAGCTTAACAAGCCCTGCAGTCTCGTTCCTCTTAAGTTACCATAGCTGCTGTGGGCAGAAGACGAGCAGCAGCTACCTCTCAGCGGTGACAGTGCCTGCTCTTGCCACATGCCAACACTGTAAGGCACGCAGACACCACTGGTTACCATTCCCAGGTGTCAGGAAAGGGGGCCCTTCGAGGAGCCAGGGAGACTGAGCTAGAGCTCGAGATGTTAGCTATCTATCCCAGGGCAGGGCCCCACACGCTCCCCGTGAAGGAGACACTTAGACCTGGATTGAGCTGCTTCCTAGCTGGATCCTCCTGAGAGGAGATAGGTCCAGATAGGTCCAGGCTCTCCTGGGAGAGCCTTGGGGCCGCGCCACATGCTCTGGCAAAGCCCTTACCCTGTGCCCCAGAGGTTCCCAAGCCCTGTATAGGGTGCCAGCCCGTCCCTAGGCAGACAGACCTACCTAGTGGCAAGTGCCCCCTCCCCCTCCAGGCGCCTGCTGCTCACACAAGGGTCTTTTGTTGCTGGAGCTTAGGCCTCCCCTCCCCCTCCATGGCCATGGCAGGTAACACGACCCCCACCCAGCCTTCCTGTGCCCTACTGCCTGCTCCCTCAGGCACAAGGAGGAGGAGGAGGAGGAGGTGACAGGCAGGAATGGGGGTTAACCAGGACAGTTGGGTCTCTGGGGTCTTGAACCAAGTCTAGGTGAAGGAGGAGACTTTGTTGCTCAGGTTGGGCCTACCCTTCCACCAGAATTGTCTCCCCCAGGACCCTGCAGCCTGAACGTCCTTGCTCACTAACAATGATGAACACTGTGTAGAGGCTACCTGGGAGAGTTCTTATCTGACCCTTCAAGTGCCCCCCCCCAGATGCCCTCCAGGAGTCTATGCAGACACCTCACTGAGGCCAAGGCTCTGTCTGACTGGACTCCACGGTTTCCAGCAACCTTATAACTTATCTCCGCTGAGGGAACTTCTCTACCCGGTCTTACCCTCAGCATCAGGTAAAGCAGGTACCAGAGCCCAAAAGAGCAGTGGGTGGGGCCTGGCTTGTGGATGTGGACTTCAACTGACCTCCAGACACCCATGTCTTTGTGAGGCTGGGGTGCCCTCTGAATGAGCCTTCTCACAGTCCAGTGGGAGGAGACCCTGCATGTGGCCAGCCTGGCCAGAGTACACCTCTGTGGGCCTTGTGTACGGTCATGGTTAACAGTCCTTGCTCCAGACAGGTGTCCTGGCACCCAGAGATGTCAGGCTGTGAGACCACAACCAGTGGCCTGACTGTCACTACCTTAGTTTCCTTCGTATGTCCTGCAGGACAAGGCGGCCATGAGCTAGGGAAATGTTTCCCACTCTAATCTGTTGGGCCTATCTGGATATACCATGTTTACCTGGCTGGCAGGTGAGCTATGGAACATGTGTCTGAGTTGGTAAGAGAGGGGGCTGGGTCTGGAGGGGCTAGTGTCCTGGACGAAGTTTGGAGACTCCACAGAAAGCAGCTAACCATTCCCCCAGGATTCAGAGTGATATCCTTGGTCTGAGCCTAGCCTCACCCCACTCAACAAGGGGAGACTAAGGCAGGAGTTGATACTAGGGTCTCTGGAAACCCACTTGAGTTTACAAGCCACAGGCTGGTAGATAGGGGGCTCCACCATAGGTTTCCTGGCACCAAAAGCAGACTGGGAAACCCCTGGAAGAAACCTGGCCAGAGCAAAGGCTGATCATGAAGAGGGACAGCAGGGGATAGGCAAATCCCCAAGCCTGGTGTGGGAAGCCTGCTCCCTTCACCCTCTGCAGTCGTCCTATTTTGTAATATTGTTTGACTTTAAACATTAAGTTCCTTTTAGCAAGTTTGTAAGAGATGTTCCACTGGTCTGAGGGTGCTGAATCTGCTGTGTGCGCATGTGGGGGTTGGCACCGCCATGCTGTCCAGTGATTACATCTGGCTCCAACAGGGGCAGGGCCTTGGCTTTGATATCTGATCCTGGAGCTGAGCCAGGGAGGGGAGACCTTTCCTTCTGCAAAGGGTGTTCAGAGTTCTGGAGCAGCAGGGCAACGGGGAGGGGAGTAAGGGGAGGCCTGGCCCCATCTTAGGGTAGTATTGAGGCCAGATACTGAGGCCCGGGCTCTCCAGCACACAGCATATTCAGAATGGGGTATGACCGACAAGCTTCTCAGCCAGCTGGCAAGATAGTCTTGCCACAAAGCCCACCTCAGCCCCCATCTGTGCCGTGGGGGCTGGTCACAGGGCCTGCTCCTCGGGATGGCTTAGTTTGCACTAAGAGTATTTGCCAAGAGGTCAGTAAACATGAGCTACCGAGGATGTAAATGGGGAGCCCTGCCTGCCTCCTAGGGAGAGACCACCATGGAAGAAGGGGCTATACAACACTTCCATACCCACAGGGCCCAGGGGCCCTGCGGAGCCTCATGCTGAGGCTGCCTTCTATTCTCAGGGTGGTAGGGAAATGGAGGTGGGGTGCCCTTAGTCATATAAAAGGGTGTGCGGGGTGAGCTGTCCTTTGGCCAGCCCCTTGTAGCATATGACCTCTAGGAGGGGCTCTGTGTGTAAGGGTGTCTGTCATCTCAGCTCTCAGGGGAACCCAGAGCGCCCCACGCCCTGAGTGTGCTATACACGTGTGGGTACCCCTCATACACATGCTCCCAGGACAGGCAGAGACAGGAAAGAGGCTGGGGTAGAACCCAGGCGTTTGGGTGGCCATATCAGCTGTGAGACCAGCCCATCTCCCTGCTGCCCGGGAAGGCCATGTGCCCAGCTGGGTGAAGGAGGACTGAGTCCACACACACCCTCCTGTGCCAGCCACTTCAGAAAAGGTGCGGGGAGAGGGGGGGCGAAATGGGCCCTGTGGGCCTGCCCTGTGGCTCCGGGCCTCTACCTCCTGGTGCTGGCCCGCCCAGCACTGCACTGGGCCAAGCCTGGCAGCAGCCCAGACTCAGGAGTCTGCCAATGCCCCCCCCACCCCCCAGGCAGGCGGGACTGTGCCGGCAGCCAGAACTGCTGGCTCTGGTTTCGCTGACGTGTCCGACGAGGCTCAGGGCCCCGCTTGGGTCCACCCCATCTACCCCCTTCCCTGGGACACAGCAGCCCCTGGCCCAGCAGTGCTGAGAGGTCAGGGTTTTCTGTCCTGAGTCGTCACAGGGCCTTAAGTCTCTCTAAGACCACCCCAGCTAGTGATTAAACTATAGAGGATCCCAGGTAGGCTTTGCTCATTTTCCCTGCTTTGTGACTTTACCCTAACTCCCTGCCCTCTCTGAGCCCCCACTTCCACTTGAAGCCCTTAGGGGTTGCAGGTCAGGATCACCCAGAAATGTTTTTTAAAATCCTTACTCCCTAAAAGACCACTTAAATAAGAACTTCCCAGGTAAGGTCCAGGCAGCATTGGGAAAACTCCTCTGGCAAATGCTCTTTATCAGAGAGTGGCCAAGGGAATAACTAGGACCGCAGGTTCTGGATCCCAGAGCAGGTGTAGACAAGCTGGCAGCTTCTTCCCCCCTCCCAGGAAGAGGCTGGCCTGGCCACTGCCAGACCTGTCAGCCCACAACAGGAAGACCAGTGACTAAGACCAGTCCCTGGGCTACGTGAGCCCTCAGGGTGGCAGGACAGGCCGTCTCAGTCAGGAGAGGTGCCACTTATTGGGCAGGGACATCTGTGGCCCCAGGAGCTATGCAGTGGCTGCTGCCCAACTAGAAGTGGGCCAGTCCAGATGCCACTGTCAACACAGGGCAGGTGTGATGCCACCAAGGGCTGGGCCCAGATGCAAGGCCTCCTCACTGCCCTGTCCCCACCCAAGGCCAAGCACTTATTAAGATTCCAACCTTACAATTAACCTTGAGTTTGCCAGAACACTACCTTAGTCACCAAGAAAGGCCCCCAACCTGGGCCCAGGAATCTAAGAAGAAAATGGTCCTGTGGGAGGAGGGGTCTTTCTTACATTTACCAGAGCCCATTAACCACACAGAGATCTGGCCACTCTATGGGAGAAATGACCCTTCCTAGGAGTCTATGGACTTGTCGATGGGTAGGTGGGCCTTGATCATTGAGCCACAATGCTGCTGCCCACAGCCATCACTGCTACCGTGCTACTGAGGCCAGAGGCCAGCAGAGCCCTAGCCTGCCCCAGCTCCATCTCAGTGCAAGCCGGCTCCCTCCTTCCTCCTTAATGAAATCTCTCAGGCAGCCTCCAGGAATGTCAGAGCCTTATTGCATTCCCCAGGAGGAGTCTGCTGGGGGGTGGAGGGCTGTCCCTAACCTTCCAGGAGAAATGGCCCTTTGCCTGTCCCCACCCCCCACCCCCAAACCGAGGTGGCTTGAGGGAGCCTCCTCCAGCCTCCTCACACCCAGGGAGGCTGGAATGAGGAAAAGCGGGGGAGGCCTGTGGGCCTGGACAGCAGCAGGCTGAGGGGTTGGGGAAAGCAAGCCGGCTGACTCTGGAATGTGAAAAGCGATAAAAAGGAAGGAGGCTGAGCCCCCGCCCCTCACACTGCACACCGATTCCCCAAGCACCCCTGCCTGCCCCAAACACAGCCCTGCTTCAGTCACGCGCACAGACACACGCCCACACCAGACACACGCCCACTGGGCTGCGTTCCTGCACACACACACACACACACAAAACCCTCATACCCTCCCCCTTCTCCAAGAACTCACGCAAATTCCATAGCAGTGAGGGGAGCTGGTTTTCTTGGCAATACACAGCCTTGGGCTCCCCAGCTCAGGGAGAGGCGCCGAGGGGGCTCTGGGAGGGGTCACTAACCCCCTTGCCATGAGCTCAGGACCTGCCAGAGGTCAAGGATGCTTCTGTGGACAGCCTTTGTCCGCTTTGGGCTGCCGAGATGGGCAGGATAGCCCTTGCTATCCTGTTCCAGAGGCTGTCCACTTATAAGCCTCAATGAGGACTTCACTCTCTGCCTAGGACTTATCCTAGTTCCCCCACGGCTGTAGGTGAGAGTATCAGTAATAAAAGCTGAAACGGTGGGCATCTCCCTAACTCCAGGCCGTCTGCCAGACCTAGCTAGGCACTGTCTGAGGGGATCCAGCACAGAGCCCCACCTCCCCCATTTTTAGAGTGTAAGGAGAGAAGTGTCACATCGAAAAATGTCTGGGACACAGGCCCCTCTACCCCCAGATGACCCTCCGGCCCCCCAGGTTTCAGGTGGCTGTTCTAATGGACTTGCACAAGGCTGGGGGAGGTGGGACGGACAGTGCCCAGGCCCTGGAGGCTGGCATGTGTGCTCCTGGGTCCTTTCCCTCCCTTGACCGGGAGAGGCTAGATAATGGTCTGGAGGGAATCCAGCTGGGCTGCTCATTACCAGAGCCCTCTTCCTGCCTCTGACACTCTGTTTACAGAAGCCTAGGGGGCTGATTCCCCCTGGGAGAAGACAGTAAACTCTTCGGGACTGCTCTCCCATCCCCCCACCAGCCTGTCCCAGCTCTGTTGGGCTCTGCCAACAGCTGGGCCCATACTGGACTTCATTGCCCTCCTGGAGGATGCCAGCCCGGCCACTCCTGTTGCCGGCAACACCGAAAGTCTAGCCTAACAGGAAAGGATCTTCAGGATTTAGGCCTGTTCTTGGTTTTAGCTTCCGGTGCCTCTCTCTGAACCTGTGCAGAAGACCAGCAGAGAAGACACCTGGACCTGGGGGCCCATCCTGCCCTGCAGACTCCACCCCTGGGCTTCCAGCAGAAGTGGTCAGCGACCCTGGTGTGGTAACCGTTAACAAATGGGGAGGAAGCAGAATGGTTGGCACCAATCAGCTGGCCTGCCAGTGACCACAGGGAACCTCGGCAGTCCTCAGGCCCTAGAACTGCCAGCCCAGGGACACAAAAGACTAGGCTGGCTATAGGCCATTAAGTTCGCAGCCCAAGCACAGCCCTCCCCCCTCCCTGGCAGAGGCAGAGATGCAGAAATGGGGTGCCCTGTTGTCTGGAGCACTGGCTAGCCAAGGTGCCTCCCCCACCTCGGGGTGTGGGGTGGGGAGACCCATCAGCCACCCCGCCACAGCCCCCCTGCATGTGTGACAAGACCCAGAGGGGGGACACCCCCCGCCCCGCCGGAGGGAAAAGTAAGCGAAGACTATGGCTGGGTCATCCCCTGAAAGGGGTTTGATTCATAAAACTGGTCGTGCCGGAGGGCGGGCCGGCCGTGGGAGGAGGAAGCGAGGGAGGGGGTGTTTATTTTGTCTGCTCGCGGCCACTGAACCATGAACACGCGCGCACCCAGGCCAGCCGTGGGGGGCGTCGCCCCGGGACCGCCATGGGCGGGGACGCGGGGACCGTGCGAGGCCGGGGACCGCCATCCACCCCGGGGTGCGGGGGCGCGCGGTGCGGGTCTGCGCGCGCACGCTGGGTGCACGGAGCCCACCAGACCCGTTCTCGCCCGCAGCCTCCCTACTCCCCGTCTCCCAAATACTCACCGGCTGGCGGTGGCGGCCGAGGGAGCCGGTAGGGGCGGGCCGCGGCCTCAGTCCTTGGCGACCGGCCGGGCCCTGAGAGGTCCGGGGTCCCGGGGTCCCGAGGCAGCGGCGTCCCCGTCTCCCCCGCCCCGGGCTTGGGCTCTGGAGTCGGCTCGCAGGAGGCGGGTCGGGCCTTAAGAGTGGGGGGCGTGGCTGTGGTGGGGGCGTGGTCCGTCGGCAAGGGGCGTGGCTCCTCCCCATTGGCTGGGACGGGGCGGGGCCTGTGGTCATCCGCCCACTCCTCCGCCGAGGCGCCTTGGACCGTTCTGGTCTCATCTTCACCCTGTCACACCCCGGCCTGGTCCAGGAGAGACTTCACCCCACTGGTGGGAGTCAGAAGGCCTGGGCTCAACTCTGCCTCTAGTTTACTATGTGACATTAAGCTTTTCGCATTAAAAGCAAGCAAATACCAACAGCAAGTTAGAAACCACATGCCTCTGAGTCACCGGACAAGGTGAAGGTAGATGCAAGGAGTGGACCCCGGGGCCTGTGGGGCCTACGAGAGGCAGGGGTATGGCAGTCGGTGGGCTGGGATAAGGGCTTAGTTCCCATGACCAGTCTAGCCTGCCAGCGCTAAAGACTTTTCAAGACAATCCAAAATCCAGATTTTGAGGCACAGCCTCTCAATGTGAGTATTGTTAGCCGCTAATCCCAATTTCAAACACTCCTTCCAGGAGCTGCTTACATACGACCTCCTTAAAACTGGGGTCCTAGCCTCAGGACAGAACAAGCTGGAGCCCTTCCCCACATTTTAGATGGAGGACAGATATGGAAAGGGAAGTGGCCATGCGCCCAAGGCCCCAACAGCTACTGGCAGTTTCCAGTCCAGAATGTGCCAGAGGTGGGGGTTAGGGTGGGGGGATTGGGTACTTCTGTAGCTGTGGATGGGGCTTGTGTTTCAGTTCACTATGGCCTTTGATTGGCTAAGAGGGATGGGTGCCAGGGGGTGGACTAGTCCAGAAAAATCCCCTGGCTTGGAGGATTCCAGGAAAATGCTCTGTCCTCCTCCCCCTCCATGTTTGTGGTCAGAGTCATGCCTCAGAGCCTTTGGGGACCCAGGTCAGCAAATGAGCTTCCGGACACCATACCCCCTTCTGCCTGGGCCACAGCCAAGGCCTTTGGCTAGGCCATGCCAGTTGGTCCCTGGAGGCCCCTGCCTCCAGAAAGCAGGATGGTCTTGTGTCCTCTTGTTGTAGGGCCTAAGCAGCGTCAAACTGTGACAGTCACCTTTTAGATGTCTCCCCTTGGCCCTTTGGCCTCCACAGGGTCCTCTCTCCAGGACAGATGGTGCTCATCGTCACATATATTCTTGTGTCATGGGTGTTTGCACGGCCTGTGAACCTCTGTTCTTGAGCAGAGCTCACTGCTGAATGTGTTTCGTTTGGCCCACATAGCAGGTTAAAACTTTGAGGGCGCTGCCAGCATTGAAAAATCAGGTGGTTTTGTACTAAAATGGGACTTCCCAGCTTGCCTCGGACAGGAAGTCTCAGCCGGGGTTGAGTGGCAACCCCTTCTGGCCAAGGCCTGGGCAGCTTAGAGGTCACTCTGACCCCCACCTCCCCTGTTTTCTCACACTGGGCTCTCCACTCAGCCAGCTTCCTGCTGGCTCAGAAGCATGTGCGTTCAGTGCTATGTGACTTCGGGGCAGACTGTCCCTGAGCCTTCATTGCACCATGAGTCCTCAGAGGCCCTGGAGAATATTCCACTGATGACCCACAGGAGTGATGTCCCAGGCTCCAGCCTGATATTCTCCAGGCCTCAAAGCCATTTGCCTCTGTTGCCAGTTGCTCAAATGTACTCCCTACGTAAGGTGTCCCCTGCCCTGATCCCAGGCCATAGGCTCATGTGAGTCTCCTAACCCTCCAGAGACTCCTGGGTAGCCTCCAAGAAACCTCCCCAGCTTTCCCAATCTGTAGATCACAGGAGATCTGGGAGAACTGGCAGCATTATGAGGGACAAAAGCCCCTCTTGTTGGTCCATCCTCTTAACTTGAGCTGAAGGCTAGGGGCCGATGTGAGCTCTCGGGCTTCTAAGACTTGGAGTCAGGGTCAGAGGCCTTGGAGATGGAAGGCCCAGCAGTGGGTGAGGCACAGGCACTGCTCCTTACCGTCTCTGGCTCTCTGCCAGGCCACAATGCACTGCCTGCATTCCAGACGCAGACCTAGGTTGGCTGTCTTCATGAGGCCTGCCCGTGCCAGATCTTGGCCAACTCTTGGCACTGGATGTCATGACCCCATTTTCCAGTGCACGCTGTGCCATGGACAGGAGGATGCTCCTGCCTGGCAGAGCTGCCCAGATGGCTCTGCCTGAGGCAAGGAGGACTGGCCTGACCTGTCAGAGGAGCCAGCCCTGCTGGCTGGGCCTTTCTGCCCCCGCATCCCGAGTGCCTGAGTCAATGGGCAGGGGCTGATGCGGCATAGTGTGGGGTGGGCAGGGAAGCCGTCCATGGCCCAGTAGAATCCTCAAGACTCATCCTGGTCTCACCTAGGCAGCAGAGGGCCGCCCCCCCCCCCCCCCCCCCCCCCGCCCTCATGCGTCCCTTGTTCTCAGCCTTGACCCTGGGTCCCATGTTTCCTCCTGTCCTACTCTTCCTACCTGAACCCATCCAGTGCAGCCTCTGATCAGTGACACCCTGGTCCTACCCCCCCCCCTTTGCATAAAACGTGCCATCAGGGACCCGTGATAAAACTCACTAGAGAGCTTGTCTGGAATGCACAGGGTTGGCCCTCAGCACCCCAAAACAACCTCAGCTTTTGTTGCTCAATCTCCCAATAAAGTCAGAACTCCCCCATTCTAGTAGAACACACGCCCCTCCACCTGTTGTTGTCACAGCCCAGGTCACCAGGAATGTATCACTCTTCCTGCCCTGAGTGGCTTTGCATCCACCCACCACAGGACCCTTATACATGCTGCTCTTATTGGAACTGTGGCCTCTTGGATTTTTCTCCTAACATTGGGACCATAGGGAAAGATTTCTCCTGAGCGGCCCAGCCAAGGCTCAGTCATCCTGTCCCCCCATATTGAGATTCATTGTGGGAGTGTGTCTGCCCCTATGAGGCAATGAATTCCTTATAGACAGACAGGTTTCTGTTGGGGTCACCTCAGATCACTCTAGCAGGCTGAGCAGGAGGCTAGATGCACAATAACTAGTCAAGACATGACTTTTTTTTTTTTTTGTCGGCCATGGGGCTTGAACTCTGGGCTTGGGCACTGTCCTTGTGCTCTTCAGCTCAAGGCGAGCACTCTACCACTTGAGACACAGCGCCACTTCTGGTTTTCTAGTGCTTGAGTGAAGATAAGAGTCTCACAGACTTTCCTGCCCAGGCTGGCTTTGAACCTTGATTCTCAGATCTCAGCCTCCTGAATAACTAGGATGACAGGTGTGAGCCACTGGCGCCCAGCTTATAAACGTTCTTTAAGAAATGGATGTGAGTTAGAGGCCTCTAGGAGCTACTGCGGGGACCGGATGCCAACCCACTGGTTCCAGCTCAGTGTGGGATGTGCCCAGGCTACACATCATCTCTGTGCCGCAGCAGGCAGTGATGACAGGGCTGAGCCTGGCTTGCCCTGCTGGCCTGAGGTAATTAGGGCCTGTGTTACTCACAGGTGTCCAGCCCAGGGCCCTCCAGGAAGTTGTGGAGACACCAGGGCCCCACCCAGCTCCTCACCCATTCTGTGGTGTGGGCAGGAAACTGGTGGGCAGGGGACAGGGAGGTTGAGCCCCTTGTTACCTGGGTGAGGGACACAGGCAGCTGCCGCAGCTGGGTAACCTGAGGGGGACTGGGGGGGGTGGCGCGGGACAGGGCCCTGCTGCCAGGGTGGTGAGGTTGAGCCAGGCCCAAGGGTCCCCAAGGACAAGAAGCCGAGACCAGGGGCAAGGTAAAGAAGACTCACATCCAACTTCTCCTGACCCCTCCCCAATTGCTGCAGGACAGAAGGCAGTGCTTCTAAGCCCGGGGAGGTCTCAGTGACCTTCCAGGGCCCAGAGAAGAGAGGTATGAATCCCTGGTCACACACAGTTGGCAGAGGCTGGGCCTGGCATAGGGTAGCTCCAGTCCACCCTTCACTTTCCCAGCTGCCATCCCACCTCAGAGACGGGATGGAGGTATCCTGCCCACTTGGTCTGGGGAGGCCAGGAAAGCTCCGCCATGGTCCCTTCTCCCCAGCATCTGGCTCAAGCCTCGGGTCTGGGACTTAAGAGACTACCAAAGGGGCATCTATGCCTCTCTGGGGCATCCAGAGGACCCATAGCATGGTGGGGGGTGGAATAGTTGGTGTCACCTCAGTGAAGACCTAGAGTGGGTGGCTGGGCCCCGCTGTCCTCAGGCAGCACTGGGGCCCTGGTTCTGGCAGTGTCCCCCACACCCTCCTGGCCGTGATGGCCTCATGACTAGCCAGGCCAAGGGCAACAGGACCGATGGCATGTGAGGTGAAGGTCCCCAGTGCCCGGGTCCTGAAGGGAAGCAGGTTGAGCAGCTGACATGGGGTTGGGCACAGGAGGAGTCGGAAGGGTTAAGTGGTTCCTGATCCCTGGTACTTTCCAGGTCTCTGATCTGAGATCGCACGTGCTGTCCTGTAACTTTCATCCCATCCCCTGGCCCTCTCTCCCCAGGTCTCTGATACCCCTGCTGGACCCAGACTCGGGACTCCTGGTCCTGGCTGGAAAGGTAAACAAGAAGCTGCTCCTGGTGCCATCAGCCACCTAGAGTCTGGGCCCTCTTCTGCTGGTGTCCTCTTTACTGTACCCTCTAAGAGGAGTGCCTAAGCCGCATGCTGGTGTTGAGACCTATAATCCTAGCTACTCAGGAGGCTGAGATCTGAGTAATTGCAGTTCAAAGCCAGCCCGGGCAAGAAAGTCTGTGAAACTCTTATCTCCAATAAGCCACCAGAAAACCAGAAGTGGCACAGTGGCTCAAGTGGTAGAGTGCTAGCCTTGAGCTGAAGAGCTGAGGGACAGCGCTCAGGCCCAGAGTTCAAGCCCCATAACTGAGAGAAAAAGAAAAAAAAAAAAGAGGACCTAGAAAAGTGCATGCTGGCCCTGAGGGGGTCCCCCCTCCCCGCGCCACTGCCATTCACCTCTTCACCTG